GGTCTGCAGTCTGCGTCCATCAGCTAACTCAATTTGGACCCAAGGGCTTGTGTCACAGCTGTGAGAGGGAAGGGGCCAGGTATACCCAACTGCTCTGCTCCTGTAGAAAACCTCCACCCGGTCTGATGGGAACACAAAGTGCTATGGTCACAGCATGATACAGACATGAAAAAAGGAAACATCACTACAACAGCAAAGGGCACGCATGTCTCTATGGCACCCTAAAGGCTGACCCTACAACTCTCAAGGCACCCTGAAAGAAATGATCTGGCTAACCCTTTGTAACTGCAAGGCCTGCTCTGGATAGAAAGCTACAGGTCTTTTCATTAAGTCTATTTTTGGAGAGACTATGTTCTGGAGAACTACATATGCAACTGCTTTCTTGTCGTGTAGCCTTCAGAAGACAGATTTCTCCCTCTCCCCCCCACCCCAGTTCAAGAAGCTGCCTATGCCTCAGAGTTACTTGTTAGATGAGTTATCTTTCTCCCTCTCATAACTTAGCGCACACAACAGAAGGCAAGTAACTGAAAGCTATCTGCAGGAAATAAAATATTAAAGAAGTTGTCCACTACCTGCTACTGCATCTAACTGTTTTGTGAGAGCAGACATAATGACATCATTCTCCACTATGTAACCCATGTCATCTAAGTCATCTTTCTCAAAAACGATCATGGCTTCTGAACAAGCATCCCACACCTACAAAGAAAAAATACATTATATGAAGCTACATGATAAAGAAGTGCTGTTCCTTTCAGGGACTATGAATGTATCCATCTTAACAGGAAAAGGAGGTGGCAATCTAGAAATACAGAACTAGAAGAAACGTCCTGGATTACTGTCCGTTCCCAGCTAATAAAGTACATCACATAATTCCTTTCATACAATGATCTAGCTTCATCTCAAAAACTAATTGCAAAGAACATTTTTTATCCCTACTTTCCTGCTACATAACAATATATAAAGCTACCCTAATCACCTTCTTGTAGGTTAACCTCGGCAGGCAGCTCAGCACCACGCAGCCACTCGCTTACTCCCCCACAGTGGGATGGAGGAGAGTATC